TTAATCAGAAAGAATGCTGTTTGTTGATGGTCAATATCATTTTAATCTTGTTTGATTATATGAACTCAGAAGATTATATAAATTCTAAAACCCACTAATTTTAACTTATGAGCAGAAAGACCAATCTAATTTTGCCTACTTAGGAACACATGGATGCCTATATCACAAGCAAGGCACCATACTGAATATATGAAAGATGCCAGCCATGCCTTCTTGCTTGAAGCAGCCCTTACTCTAATAGTAGGGTTGAAACATGCATGCACACAAATAATAACGGAGCAAGAGACTGGAGACAGATAGGAGGCTATTAAAACACTGCAACAACTCATTTATTTTTAAAAATCTAGATGAAATATGAACTATTATGGTTAGCAGTAGAATTAGAAAAGAATAAGCAAATATGAAAGCTGTTTCAGAAATAGACATGGCAACTAATTTTACTTGATGGATAAGAAAAGAAAGTTACAGTGACTTTCAAGTTCCCTGTTTGGGTTACTAGGAGAAAGATATTGATAGAAACAAATAGTTCAAGAGGATGGGTAGACTCATTAGAGGAATGGGAACATTTGATTTAAAGTATGATGAATATCTAAAAGAAATATCTCTATATTTAATATTCCAAAGCAATGATCTTTAAATATTGTGTATTGTTTATAAACTTTGCATGTGGGCTCCACAAATTAATGTATCAATCTAATCATATATGTATACATACATGTACATATATATATATATCAAAAAATGTTAATGATGACTTAAAAGTAACTAGGTGTACTACACTAGTTTCATTCCGACAATTCAATAGATTGTTTTGCTAGTCCATATGAGACAACCTACATGACCTCTTTCCAATTTGACTTATAAGAAATACTGATTTTGGGAGCTCAGTCCAGTGCTCCTGTGTGGGTCACTGTCTGGATCTCTATCCATCACCAGATGAAGATTCTATGATGATATGCAAGATATTCGTCAGTATTGCTCTAGGATAGGGTCATTTCAAGTTCCCAATCCTCAGCTGCCCAAGGAACTAACTGGGAACCTCATCTTGGGCACTAGGGAGCCCCTCTAGGGTCAAGTCGCTTGCCCACCCTAAAGTGGCTCCCAAGGTCCCAAGGAGGAGCAGAAGGAGGGAGAACATGAGCAAAGAATTCGGGACCACGAGGCGTGCATCCACCCACTGAGAGAGAGGAGCTGATCTACGGGGAGCTCACCAAGGCCAGCTGGACTGTGACCGAAAAAGCATGGGATAAAACCGGACTCTCTGAACATGGCGAACAATGAGGGCTGATGAGACACCAAGGACAATGGCAGGGGGTTTTGACCCTACTTAATGTGCTGGCTTTGTGGGAGCCTAGCCAGTTTGGATGTTCACCTTCCTAGATATGGACGGAGAGGACCTAGGACTTAACACAGGGCAGGGAACCCGGACTGCTCTGTGGACTGGAGAGGGAGGGGGAGAGGAGTGGTGGGAGGGGGAGAAGGGTGGGAGGAGGGGGAGAAGGGTGGGAGGAGGGGGAGAAGGGTGGGAGGAGGGGAAGGGAAATGGGAGGCTGGGAGGAGGTGGAAACTTGTTTTTTGTTTATGTTTTTCTTCTTCTTTTCGCAATAAAAAAAAAGAAATACTGATTTTTCTAACCCAAATTAATGATAAGGAATTTATATTATAGGAAATATAACATAATACTTTGCTATTGAATGATGAACTATATGTTTATGTGTGCATATTTGTATTTAAATGTCCAGTATTAACTTATTAATAATGTCTTGGCATCAGTTGGAAAGATAAGAAGAATCTGATAAACTACACTGTGTTCACATGTCCACCCTTTATTTAGGAAATGTTAAAAATTAAAATTCCTTTCAAAAGGCTAAAAAATAGAACAGTAGGAAGTGAATCCCTGTTGAGTAATATTCCTCTTTATTTTTAAGCCTTCTTTTATAAGAAGGCTTCGGGAGTTTGGGGCGTATCTCATCTTAACCATCACAATATGATTTACTAGACACTATCCATGTTTACAGAAACTGAAACTTAGCATGTAGGTCCCACAAATAATAAATGATTTTTCCAAGGTCACCTAGTTAGTATGTGTTTGAATATAAGTTTTGACGTTGGGTTATTGTCTTTTTATTACAGCATAATTGTCATAAATGTTTTGGCTTCCTCTGTTTTTCAGGATTGAACCAATTTTATGAATATGGGCTTTTAAATTTTTTACCTGGTCTCTAACACAAACTCCCAGGAAGGAAAAAGTTCTCTTTTGAAACGAATAGGGAAAGGTGAGACTAATATTTTTTTCTTCTTGTCCACCTTCTCTCCTAACAGATCAACATCATATTCTCTCAACACTTCTGTCTGTTGTACTGACTTGTGGTTAAGTTTTGTATTTAAAATGTCTGCTTCTGAAACAGGAGTTCCATCAATTTGACTTTAAATTCTATTTCTGAGGATTGTTATTATAGTAAAGGTAATCTGAAGACTGGGGGCTTGTGATTTATCTTTGTTAACTCCAGATAACATAAACAGGCAAGGCAGAGACCATTTAATCTTCAATAAGATAGCATGGGTTCAGAGACACAAGTCAGGCCAAACTAACCTCATTTCCGTTTTGGAAGTGTAAATAATCCTACAGGATCGTATGAATGCCTTCTAGCTAGACTATCTGAATTGAACAATATACAATGTCCCTGTTGTTAAGAGAGAAAATAGCATTTATAGTTGGGAGACAACGCATTTTCACCTAATTGTTAACAACAGAATGACAGTGGGAATTTATAAGGCACTCTTTCTTTATTCCCATCCTGAGCAGGGTCACAACTGAAAACAGAAAAAGAGTCCTTTTGAAATTGTCGGATGACAAAACTGGAAAGGAAAGCAAACTGGTTTGATACTTGTTTGAAAGGAAGGGTAAATATTACCACAAACTTTTTTTAAAGAAACAAAACAAAATATATTAATTTAGTTTCAAAAATTAAGTATATAACGGGACTTGCCTTAACAACAATACACGATTGCATTTATAAGACATCATTGAAAAGATTCTTGCTGATCATGAGCACAACATAACAAAAGTGAATGGTGGTTACTAAAAAAAAAAAAAAAAGAAAACACCATGCTGGAGTTATGGGTCATAGATAGACTATTTACCTAGAATGCTACATAAGCCTTATCTTTGATTCCCAGTACAACATAAAGCAGATGTGGGGTTGCTTGCTTATAATCCCAGCACTTGGGAAGTGGAAACAGGAGAATTAAGAGTTTAAGACCAGACTGGCTACACAGCAATTTTGTAGCCAGTCAGAGGTTTTAAAGACACTGTCTCAAGAAATGAATAATGGAACAAACAAATAAATAGTATAAAAAAATCACAGCCACAAAGTAAAACAAAAAGTCAACACAATTTAAAGCAATGCTAATTTCATTTAAAACACTATAACATTCAAATGGCACTGTAACACTTTTCTGTACGTACATACTACATGAATTAGGGGGTTTGGTATAGCACACGCTTGAAGAAGAGTACTGGCAAACTTGTAATTAAAGGAGAGCATAGAAGCTTCTAATATATGAGCTTTCAAATGTTTTAAAGCCTTTAGCATACTGACTATATTTTTCCATTTTGATGGAAATTTGATGACATATTAAATTATCAATTAATACATTTACTGTGTTTTCATTTACTGAAGCATGAGACCTAAGTGAGGTATTATAATGAAATTTCTACATGGATGTCATTTACTGATTTCCATGATGTACTTTTTGTGCTTTCTGGTACTGACTCTGTTTTTATGCTGTCATTTAGTTTTCAACAATAACGACATATTTCAGGAGCTAGAGCAAGTCAAAGCTAGGCAAGCTTCCAAATTGCTTTTACTTTTGAGGTTGGATTTCACTATGTAGCTTAGCTTGGTATTGAACTCCTGGCAATCTTTCTGCCTCAGCCTCCCATGTTTGAGGTACTGTCATCATGCCTGGCTCAAAGGCAATTTGCAATTTACTGGACTCCAAATAAGCAAAACTACTATTGTATTTGTATTGATATTAGAGGGCCTTCATACAAGTATAGAGCAGGAGGATTTGGATTGGGTAGAATCCGCCCTCAGACACCTAAGTTCAATAAATTGCCTGGCAACAAGGTCACCCCTCACAGCTTGAATAATTAAGGAAAATAGGAAAATCATTCCATGTCTTCAGTGTTTCAAGTTTTGGGTTTAGGGTATAACCAGACAAATCTGAGAGTGAAAGCAGTTATTTATAGGTCAGCCGGATAGTGTACCCATGAAAGAGAGGAAGAACAAAGTTGTTCTTAGCTGCTGTGCCTTGAAGCAAAGGTAAGGGTGGTTTCAGAAGGAAACATATATTTTTCTGCTATTTAGAATTAGTTGGTGAAATGCTTTCTTCACTCTTCATGCCCCAACAAAGTACCTGCAAGTTCAGATCTATAGAGATCAGTCACACTTGTCTTGGAGAGAAAATGCCCATTTTCCAGCTCACATTAACAATCAGAGTAGAACTCAGAGAAAGTGATTTGAAAAGGTTATCCACTCAGTCTGAGTCACCAAGGTTTTGGGTGCCAAATCTGATGCTGTCTAGAAACAAATAGTAACCAGAGCACCAGTGGCTGGCTGTAAAGAGAAGGGAGTCTTGTGGTTCTCACTAGGTATAAGACTCACTGTTTAACGCTAATACTTTGCAGCAGAAATACCCAGGAGTTTAATGATGTTAGCAGAAAAAAAATGGACATAGTATTTATTTGAGAGCTACTGCCTTCCATGAGGAGGCTGTGGGTTTGATCCCCAACACTGATTAAAAATACAAGGTAATAGCTGTGCTTGGAAAAGGAGAAGAGGCTAGCTACTAAAGAAGGCAAATTTGAATTCGAAAGAGTAGCTTAGTTATAATGAGCCACATTAGCCCAAGTCCCCAGTAACAATCAGTAATAAGGTAGTTTTTCCCTCTGAGGTTTCCATGCCTGTTGTGAGAACATTTGAAAAGCTACTCACCACAGAGAAGCTGGTCCTTCACATTCATCCAGAGGCTGCCAGCCTGCTGCAGTTAAAGCGCACAGGACCAAGAAGCAGGAGCCCTGGTTTTGGAGTTCCACGTCTGCCACTTGGTGATCTTGTAAGTTTCTTTACCTCTAGCACCAGATCTAACCACCTCACAGAAGTACTGGAAGAACCTAGTGAAATCACAGACCTGGAGGCACTTTGCAAAGCATAGAGCACTGCAGAAGTGTGAGGGATGATTATCCAAACAGCTTTCATGCCAAACCTTCTGGTATCACCCTGAAGGCCTTCTCAGCTTTGGCACAGATTTCTCAATTCCCTGATTGCTCCCTCCAAGCCATATCTGGCTTGGGAGCAAGTGCCCTAGCCCTCCCTTTCCTTGCCAGCTTCCTCCTTAATGGATGCAGCTGAATATAGTTATTCTTCATCTGCTCTAGGCTATCCTGGAGAGGCCCAGTTTTTCTCGGGGAAAAAGGGCTTTACCTTTTAACAAATACCAACAACTCTTCAGAAATAACCTATCAGTGATAGGTGTGAGACAGGGGAGAAAAAAATTGGAGCAATCTTCAGCTTCGGGGAAGAAATAATCGATTTGAGTGAGACTTGCTCAAGGAGCTCTGAGTGCTCAGAACCAAAATGCATGCATGTACACACACATGCGCGCGCTCACACACACACACACACACACACACACACACACACACAGAGAGAGAGAGAGAGAGAGAGAGAGAGAGAGAGACAGGCACACATGTATACACATACAAATCCTTAAGGATTTCACAGTCCACGTACTACAGCAACAAGAAATCTTACCTGAATGCTGCTTTCTGCTTCTAAGCCTGCGCTGGCCACTCTGCCTGCCTTCTCTCTACCACCTGTGAAGATTCTAATTCAGTGCTGCCCATTTATACCCTTCTGGGAGTGGCAGGACTCCAGGAATCTCTGTCCTCACCAATCACAAGTGAGAACTTCTCAGTCTTTGGCCATGTCTAATTTAACCCTGTCTATGTAGACATTATATCAGTGTTGTCAGCTTCCTAACTGGGAGGCCGACGTGGCCTCAAAATTAAGGAGCTTCTGTCTTCTGCTTGCTGTGGAGAAATTGTACCTGGTTTCCTTAGTTCTCACAGACAATTTGGTGTGCCAGTGAGGCAGAAAGAATATTCTGGTGAGCAAGTCTTACTCATAGGCAATATGCAGATAATAGGGAAGAAGAAATCAACGGCTGCAGAACAAAGGGCTCAAGACACAAAGGGGAAATCTAAGGTCAGAGACTGGTTCATTTGTTAAAATGGAGAGAACGGGATATAGACAGAGTTAAAATAGGCAGTGGGCTTAATGCTTCCTGATCCATGCTTGGCATAAAAACACATACCAAAGCAGGGTCCTAACAAGCAAGCAGAACGTAGTGACTTGTCATCCAAACTGGCATGGACAGAAATGGAGTCTGAAGATAAGACCTGAGCAAAACTGAAGGCAAAAATTGAGCCCAGGAGGATGCTCTCAGCTCCAATACATCCCCAAAGTACTGCTATAAGAGAAGCCATTGTATTTTTGAAATTCTTATGTTGTAAAGTACAGTTTTCCTCAACTTGATTGGTATGAAAATGCAAAATTAAAAAAGAAAATAAAAAGACATCAGAACTGAAGTTGCAGTATGCAAATACTGAGGACAACATTAAGTCTAACTAAATCTTTCAGAGTTGCAGACCAAAGTGTCTCAATTCACGTTCAGTCCTGGAGGTAGGACTGGAGGCCAAATTAGTTCTCCTTTTCTCATTTTTATGTTCTCTACAGCTGTTTCATCTCTTAAAATTTATTCCAAATCTAGGGTTATTTGTTACAGAATGTACCCCAAGACCTGAATTTGCATGTCAAATAAAAGAAGTATACTTTGCTTTTATTCCTACAACATGAAAATAGTGACACAAGGTGATACAGGGAAAAATAATATTAATACTCTGCTTATAATGCAGTGCCAAAATGATTCCCACCACAGTACCTGGGGCTCATACAAGCTCCAAGGCAGCAGTTCTCAGCATGTAGGAGTGGAACGGCCCTTTCACAGGGGTCACCTAAGACCACCAGAAACCCCAGATTTTTACATTATGATTCTTACAGTAGCAAAATTAGTTATGAAGTAGCAACATAATAATTCGTGGTTGGGGGTCACCACAACACAAAGAAATTGTATTAAAGGGTCACAGCATTAGGAAGGTTGAGAACCACTGCTCTAAAGCATGCTTCTCATTCATAAAAGCTAGAAGCAGCACTATTCACCATGAAAATGGAAGAGATGAATGGCACTGGCATAATAGGGCCCAGGTGGTAGCAAATATTGTGCCAAGGGCTGAAGGTATGAAATGGTGACCAGATGTTGAAAGAGACTGTGTAGAACATCACAGGAAAAGAACTAAATGTGTTCTCAAGTGTCTCCATTTAAAATAAAATTCACATGATTTTTTTCCTTTTGAGATGGCATGGTGCCTGCTTAGCACAGACTCTGGCACATAGTAAGCATTCAACAAATTGTTGCAATTGAATGAATCATAAATTATACACAAAAACAGCCAGACAAAACTTTCCAAGCTCTTTAATTACAGCTTGTGAAAGGTGCAAAGTTGTAGTAAAATTCTTCATATATAAAATCAGTTACTATAAGAAGTAATAAAGGCCTCACTTTGCTACAAGTATCTTCTTAGGTGTGATGGGTAAAACTATCCAAGACACAGAATCATGGACAGTGGGAAAGAGGAAGACAACTGACTGAAGGTAGAAAGGAATAAAAATGCTGAAACTGGAAGAGAACTATCCTTCACCTTGTTAATGTATTAATAAACTTTTTTGTAAATAGTGATAACTAAGAATAAAAATGAGAGTTTGGGATCTCAGTAGCACAGTGCTTCCCTAATACGGACAAGACCATAACTGTGATTCCCAATAACAAGATGAATGAATGAGATTGATAGTCTTATTTCTACTGTCAATAATTGTTAGTATTTCATTCAGTTTAATTTCTATTATATATATAGTATCCTAATACTTTATTACTATGTCACATGAAAAGAAGACAGCAGGGTGTATGTGTTCTCCTAAGTTAATGTAAGGCTGGTTTTTGAGGTAAGCAAGGTCCAAAGAAGTAGAAGTCTGAAAGTTGGCACACACAAAAAATCATAGACAAACCAATTGAATTAGTGTTCAGGATATAGCTGTACTGGTATAAATCACAGCTAGAAAAAAAATTAAAAAACCTTTAGGTGGGAGCCAAGGCGATGTCTTAGCGGGTAAGAGCACTTGCCATCAAGTCATATGAACTGAGTTCATTCCCTGAGACCCACATATTGGAAGGAGAGGACTGACTCTTGCAGAATAAATAAATATAACACAAAATTTTAAAACAGAATTCTGTAAGTGAACTTGGTTGGCTATTACTGGAGAGCTGGGGAGAAAAGTGGCAGTCTCCATCCTATCTCTGTTCATCTGCTTCTTTCCATGCAGATGAAACAGTCATTACTTGGAGGTCTCCTGAAGCTCAGTGTTCATTTTTGGGACCCATTTTCTTTCTTATTTCCTCAAGTTTGCTGTCTTTTCCATTCTGGTTTCTCGACTCGGCTGTTTTACTCTGTTTCTACCCTTTTTGCCCAACTCTCCAACCACCTTTTCTTGTTCTTTCCGGAATATGATAAGAACATGGAGCTACTGAAAATCATTTTTTTCTAAAGTCATTTAAATTGAATATATCAGGGTGTCCTTGGCTTATTGTTTATTTGTAATCCTACAAGTACCAAGCTGACAATAAAAATTGCAGAGAAATGAAACCAACTTCAAATATTGAAAAACAATATCTACCTATGTGTGTAATATTTTTGCTAATTTTAAAGTTATTTTACCCTACTCAAATTATAAAATTTGGACACTTGGTGATTTTTATGTGAGTTTTTCCATTTTATTATCTATTCTAAGATTGTACTATGTATCAATTAATCATTATACTTGTGTTGAAGAAGATTTTAATGACTCTTAAAAAGAAGAAATATCACTAAACCAGAAGTTTTACCATAAATTCTAATCTGTTTGCCATTTCATTCTGGTATAGCCTTGAAAAAGTGGTTTGTCTTCCTCAGCATAAGAACAATAATAGTAATAGTAAATATATTATTTGTTGTATTATATGCAGGGAGTACTTTAGGAAGCATATTATAATATTTATAAACTATTGCAATGTAAAAGCTATTATAATAATAATCATATTATAGATCTAAATTTTAAAGAGGTTGAAGAATTGCTCACTGTTGAGAATTGAAGTCCAAGCAGCTAATCAATGTCAGGTCTAGAATTCAAGTCTGTCTGATTCCAGAGATTACTCTTAACTCCTAGGAAATAATACAGGCTTATAGTATGTTATTGAATTTTATTTTCCTCATTTATAAAAATAAAGAGTTTCTCATGTGGATGCCTAGGTTTTCTTTCATTTCTAACAGATTAATGATCTAATATGAAGCAACAGTATGATCTAGGCTATGGGCTGACATAGCAATAAGAGCAATATGCTGGGAATAAACTTTTCCCTTTATATCATGTGGAAATTGTCTCATAAAACTATGTCTTTCCTAATGATTTTGAGAAGGAAAAATGTATAATATTAACAAGGTTCTGAGTTATAGGCCGATTCGGGGGGGGGGGGGGTCCGGCATTTCTATTAGGAAAGAAAATATTTGAGAGAAAGGTTCATTTTCTCAGTTCATGATTCTATGTTAGGCAAGACAAAATAGACATTCTCTTCTAAATATGGAAGAGAAAAATCCCTGAGCCTATTGGTAACCAATAACAATGAAGCAAAAGCCTCTGAACTTGCTAAGGAGATTTCATAGAGGCTTGACTTTCAAGGAGGAAAGACTTTGTATATTAATTTCAGTGTCATAAATAACAAATTACAAGCAGGGAGTAATATTCCAGAAGAGAAGTACATGCCTCTGGTTGACATACCAAAAAGGCATGGAGCACTAGTGAGGCCAAGAGTTATTCCGGGAGTTATTTTCCCTCCACATTCTC